CTCTACTAGGGGACTATTTCGTCTTCGCACAAATCAAGTTATCCAAAAACAATTAAACCAACTTGAGCAGAGCCGTCAGCGTCAACACAAAGAAGAAGGCGATGCACAGACCGTTGATGAACCCGATGAGCTACCGGGGATCGATCCGGTGAGTATTCCTGCTAGCAGCGAGGCGAATATACCAGAAGTGAAGGCGACAAACGTGGCCCAACAACCACCACCACCGACTGAACCCCCGGCTGTGCCACTGCTTCGCCGGAAGATAGCACGCCATCGGCATCAGCCGCAATCTCCACCTTTACATCAGCGCAACACGACTGGTATAGCTGCAATTTTAACTCCACCTAAGCAACCTCAAACGCTATTTTTTCAGACTGATGAAGAAGATCACGTTGAGAACTGTTCTGTTGCCGATCCTTCCGTCGTCTCCCCCACATTTGGCACCGACCCAGAGACTGACAAGACTACCGAAGAAAACCCCGTTGAAAACCGCAGTTCTCCAACTCGCAATGCCCCTAATTACGAGTTCGATCGAAGATCCAGTGACGAACAAAATGGAGATGATGATAGTTTCAGAGACGCGGGGGTTCCTGAGCGTATTGGCAAACTCTCGCGGCAGGAGGATGAATTCGACTTTGCCATTCTACTCAAACCATCCAAGTATGAAGAGACCGTCGATCTGCCAGAAGCTACAGCAAAAACTACAAACCTCAAGCCAATCACAAAACTTGACCCCACAAGCGATCGCGCAGTGATCGTCAGTCGCATACGACGTACAGGGCTACACGTTGAGCGTTTATTGTCTTTGGATGGAAAGCAATCACTACTAAAAGTCCGAGCTCCGCAACGTGTACTGGAACTCGGAGCAGAGCGACTCCGTCTTCGAAAGCAACGACGATTTGATAAAGTTTGGATGGTTTTCTCTTGTGAATTACGATCAAGCTTCGCTGATTTTGATCCCGTTCGAAAATGTGTCAACTTCCTCGATAGCGAGAAGCAGAGCATTGTACATGCATTGTTAACTGCTTCAGAGGCTGATGGTGGCGCTGGGCTTAATGAATCTTGTCCCGTAGCAGCGAGATATGTAGTACAAATGTATCCGCTTCACAAACAAGACTTAACGTTGCTAAAGACTCGCTGGGTGACGTTCTGGAAGACTTCGTTACTGTCAAGCAAGCACCAGCATGATCAAGCACCCCAGTCAAAGTCAAGATGCGCGGTTGTACGAAGTGTACTGCAACAGCCTTTGGACGACGTGGCGCAGTATTTCGGTGAAAGAGTGGCCTTTTACTTCGCTTGGATGGAAATGTACACCCGATGGCTTGTGGTTCCTAGTGCGGCTGGTGTTATACTGTTCGGTCTGCAAGTTCACTCGCACCACCTCGACCACCCAGCAGCTCCAGTGTACGCTCTCTTCATGGCTTTATGGACATCAGCTTTTATCATCGCATGGAGACGTCGTGCAGCAGCTTTAGCGTATCATTGGGGCACCTGGGGATACGAAGACGAGGAAGTCACCCGGCCAGAATTCTACGGTGATAGCAGCAAACCTCATGATGACAAGGATGTCGACGAGGAAAAACCAGTTGAAAGGCATTATGTGCTTTGGAAGAGATTGCTCAAGTACAGCGTCACTTTTCCGTGTGTGGCTGGCAGTATAGTGGCAGTGGTGACGCTCGCGTATCTTGCATTCTCTACACGCGATCGACTCGAAGCAGAGTCGCTAGAAACCAAACGTGAAGCTGCACTGATCGCCGAAAAGGTCAGACAAACGGGTACGATTACGTTGGAAGAGCTCCAAGCGTTGGCACAGCTTGGTGTGCGCTGGGATTTCTGGATCTACCTTCTTCTCACTCCCATTCTCTACGGACTACTGATCCCCGTACTTGATGCTGCATTCACTCGTGCAGCACGGTTCCTAAATAATTGGGAGAACCACCGCACCGAGTCCAGATACCAGAGTCATCTCATTCTCAAAGTCTTCTCTTTCCGCTTCGTGCACGTTTTCGCGTCACTGTACTATTACGCGTTTGCCCCGCATGCTAAAGACGGAGAACATGCAGCAAAGTCCGACGGGATGGTACGAGTTGCGATTCAACTGGCCTCGTTCATGGTAACCGGACAGCTATGGAAGAACGTCATGGAGACACTGTATCCATTTGTGCGTCGTCGTCTTGATGCACGAGCCAAGAAGCGTGCGAGTAACCAGCAATTTAACCAGTCCACGGTATTCAATGGGATCAACGCAGCCGCTGGTCCTCGAGGTCCTAGTCGTCAGGGAGCTACGTCCACAAAGCTAGCAACAGAGGCGATGATGAGCAGCAATGCTGTGATTCATGAACAGTGCGTTCGACTAGAGCAAGCCTCCGATCGAGCATGGGAAGAAGCCGGATTGAAGCAGTACGACACGTTCGAGGACTACACAGAGATGCTGGTGCAGTTCGGCTACGTGTCGTTCTTCTCACTGGCATTTCCTTTGGCTCCTCTTCTTGCTCTACTCAATAATCTGATCGAGATGCGCACTGACGCGTTCAAACTCTGCCAGACAAGACAACGTCCACTTGCTCACAAGGCCAGCGGCATCGGAGTCTGGCTGCATGTGTTGCAGATCATGAGTGTGCTGGCTGTACTGACCAATTGCTTCCACTTGGCTTACTCTACTTCGCTATTGGAACGTGCCTTCCCTTCGGTCACTGCAACGGAGAAAGTCTGGATTGTATTCGGTATTGAGCACTTGTTACTGCTCATCAAAGTTTGGTTGGCTTGTGTGGTGCCCTCCGTGCCCCGAGACGTCAATGAGAGTCTGCGAAGGGAACGCGAACTTGCTAAACATGATAGCGCGCGTGCAATGGCTGCTCGAATGCTGGCGGAGGTGGCGAGCGATAGCTCCGACGTGAAGCAAGCGTCCATCCGACACCGGAAGGTTGACTCAAGTGTTAGTTGAAGTTTCCTCTGTACAAGAGGTTTTTCAGTTCCGTATAGAGAGAGATGGATGGGAATTGTCAAATGTCAGTTTTAACCAATCGTCTTC